ACAAGATGCTTGTTCTGGGGGACTGGACAAGAGTGGCCAAGGAATTCTGGTGGGGGAGCATTGAAATGAAGGATCTGGGCTGCTCTGTGGCAAACTACAGTGCAGAACTGGTAAGTCTTACATGTTTATTTTATTTTGGAACAATTGTTAAGATCACTTTTCCAAACCCACCTGTGACGCCAGACAGCGAATCACAACAGGCTTCCCAGGGTCTCCCTCTGCCTTGTACTCCAGATGTTAATGAAAGAAAAATAAAAACATTTAGATACATAGCAGAGGTTTTTTTCTTCATAAATCTACAGATGGCACAGACAGTAGCCAAAACTGGCAAGCTGTTCTACTCCCTCTATACTCTCTTGCCCAAATCCACAGCATTTATTCATGTAATGTTTGAGTGGTCAGAACTTGTTGTCATGTTGACTGCACACTGGCTAAAATGGCAAGTACTGCTTTGCGCCCACCCTATAGTTTTGGTCTAACTGCACTTTTGGTCCCAAACGTAGGGGCTCTGAAGATCAACTTGCTGAATAATATCTCCCAGGATGACCCCTCCAGATAACCGCCCAAGGGTCAACTGTAATTCCTCATAAACAAAAGCTCAACATAGTGCTTTATTCTTTAACCACCTCCCGCCCGCCATGTAGTACTATGACAGGCGCAAGGTGGTTCTCTCGTTCTGGGAGGACGTCATATGACGTCCTCCCATTCTCACTGCGCACGTGCGGCGATCGGCGGTGCGCTGTGTCCCTCAGACACAGCGGATCACTGATCATGGAAAGAGCCGAAGATGTGGGCTCGGTCATGTGATCAGCTGTGTCCAATCACAGCTGATCACATGTAAACAGGGAAATGCCGGTTATCGGCATTTCTCTCCTCTCGAGCTGTCACGCTGACAGCTCGAGAGGAGAGCCGGTAATCAGCTTTCCGCGGAGGGGACATGTACACTGATCATCAGGGCACTGATGATCAGTGTAGCCCCAGCAGTGCCACCTGTCAGTGTCCATCAGTGCCTTATGTCAGTGCCTCATTCCAGTGCCCATCAGTGCCACATATCAGTGCACATCAATGCCACCTATCAGTGCCTACCAGTGCACATCAATGCCACATATCAATGCCCATCTGAGCCGCCTTTCAGTGCCACCTATCAATGCCAATCAGTGCTGCCTATCAGTGCCATGTATCAGTGCTGCCTTTCAGTGGCCATCAGTGATGCCTGTCACTGCCCATCAGTGCCACCAGTGCCTCCTCATCAGTGCCACCTATCAGTGTCCATCAGTGCCCATTAGTGCAGCCTCATTAGCGCACATCAGTGAAGGAGAAAATCACTTATTTACAAAATTTTATAACAAACTAAGAAAAAATTTTTTTTTTTCCAAAATTTTGAGTGGTTTTTTGCTTTGTTTAAGAAAAAAATAAAAAACCCCGAGGAGATTAAATACCACCAAAATAAAGCTCTGTCTCAAAACAAATGATAAACATTTAATATGGGTACAGTGTTGCATGACCGCGCAATTGTCATTCAAAGTGCGACAGGGCTGAAAGCTGGAAATTGGCCTGGGCAGGAAGGGGGTATAAGTGCCCTGTAGGCTAGCGGTTAAAAACTTTTATTGTACAATAAACCATAAGAAACGCACTCACATTAAGTAGGTGCATACCGCACCGATGATGAACATCCAGTAATGTACTTCTTTAGGCACAAGATGGCAGTATCATCCCCAGCAGCATAGACCAGTCCTGGCTCCAAATCGTCACCACACTGTGTAATGCAAGGCAAGGGCCGGTATCATTACTGCCATCTTGTGCCTAAAGAAGTACTTTACTGGATGTTCATCATACCTGGTGCGGCATGAACCTACTGAATGTGAGTGCATTTCTTATGGTTTAAACGCACTGTACTCGGTATATATGTACATATATGCAAAGTTTTAACATGAAGGCCTAGCTGCTGGGATGGTTAATATCTGTGACCCATCAATACCCGAGAGCTAATATGCAGATAAACAGGAAGTAGCGTGTGTATGCACATGTGCGCTAAGTGACATGCTGCTGGCCCCCCTCCAAAAGCTGCACATTAGCTGTTAGACCAAAAAAAAAGCAAACATTTAAATCACATCCACATGCTATGAACATTGTTGCAAAAGCCGCACTTTGCAAACGAGAATCAGCTCCTCTGTAGAGAACAGTGATCTCACCGTTTTCAAATGTGCTCCCAGAAATTGGCCAATTTCACAACTCTCCAAATCTCCAACCTGTTCTCCTAACCACCGACATTCCCCACTACCACTCCGTCTGCGCTCGAATGTCCTTCCGCAAACGTGATGACGTATTTCCGGTGGGACAGCGGTTTTCCTTTGCAGCACTAATGAATATCTGGCATTAGCGAATATATGTTATTTTGAGGTTAAAGGGTCAGTCAACACAAATTGAAGGCCCAAATGATTACTGTAAAGAAGATTGTATAAAGAGAATATCTAGCTGCACATTGGACACTACCTATTCGTTGTTACATAACATTGTCTTGTGGTGCAATAGGGGGCTTTTGGTTTATTTGGGACATACTTGCATATGTGCACTTTAACAAGGAAGATTTGTGCATATTATATAGGTAGGAAAAAAGTGGTATGGGTGCAATTACATTCAACTAGAACATGAAATAAACCCCCGAAAAATAATCAAACAATACATAGTCCAAATGTTTATTGATCAAATATATATTCAACATTTATTTTTGACAGTAACAAGTAGGTACATTCAATTTCTTGGTGGGGAAAAAAAAAAAAGCAGGATTGATGTTGCTAAAATAGAACAGTCGTGTTCATAAGAGCTTACAATCTAAAAGATTATACCTTCTAATGAACAGTGCTTTTACAGGGTACAGCAGCAACACAGTTAATATGAATCAAGCAACATTTTCAGGGCCGTAAACTTAGCACACACCATCAATTATTTATTTGCAGGATTATCTACAGTCAGGTCTATAAATATTGGGACATCGACACAATTCTAACATTTTTGGCTCTATACACCACCACAATGGATTTGAAATGAAACGAACAAGATGTGCTTTAACTGCAGACTGTCAGCTTTAATTTGAGGGTATTTACATCCAAATCAGGTGAACGGTGTAGGAACAGTTTGCATATGTGCCTCCCACTTGTTAAGGGACCCAAAGTAATGGGACAGAATCATAAAATCAAACTTTCACTTTTTAATACTTGGTTGCAAGTCATTTGCAGTCAATTACAGCCTGAAGTCTGGAACGCATAGACATCACCAGACGCTGGGTTTCATCCCTGGTGATGCTCTGCTAGGCCTCTACTGCAACTGTTTTCAGTTCCTGCTTGTTCTTGGGGCATTTTCCCTTCAGTTTTGTCTTCAGCAAGTGAAATGCATGCTCAATCGGATTCAGGTCAGGTGATTGACTTGGCCATTGCATAACATTCCACTTCTTTCCCTTAAAAAACTCTTTGGTTGCTTTTGCAGTATGCTTTGGGTCATTGTCCATCTGCACTGTGAAGCGGCGTCCAATGAGTTGTGAAGCATTTGGCTGAATATGAGCAGATAATATTGCCCGAAACACTTCAGAATTCATCTTGCTGCTTTTGTCAGCAGTCACATCATCAATAAATACAAGAGAACCAGTTCCATTGCCAGCCATACATGCCCACGCCATGACACTACCACCACCATGCTTCACTGATGAGGTGGTATGCTTAGGATCATGAGCAGTTCCTGTCCTCATACTCTTCCCATCACTCTGGTACAAGTTGATCTTGGTCTCATCTGTCCATAGGATGTTGTTCCAGAACTGTGAAGGCCTTTTTAGATGTCGTTTGGTAAACTCTAATCTGGCCTTCCTGTTTTTGAGGCTCACCAATGGTTTCCATCTTGTGGTGAACCCTCTGTATTCACTCTGGTGAGTCTTCTCTTGATTGTTGACTTTGACACACATACACCTACCTCCTGGACAGTGTTCTTGATCTGGCCAACTGTTGTGAAGGGTGTTTTCTTCACCAGGGAAAGAATTCTTCGGTCATCCACCACAGTTGTTTCCGTGGTCTTCCGGGTCTTTTGGTGTTGCTGAGCTCACCGGTGCGTTCCCTCTTTTTAAGAATGTTCCAAACAGTTGCTTTGGCCACGCCTAATGTTTTTGCTATCTCTCTGATGGTTTTTTTTTGTTTTTTCAGCTTAATGATGGCTTGCTTCACTGATAGTGACAGCTCTTTTAGTGATAGTGACAGCGGATTTAGCAGGGATAGGGTAGATATGAGGGGGCTTTCTCCTCCTTTTCGACCTAATCACCTGTTTGGTATGGCCCCTTTCACACAGGTAGACCGATTGGACCCTCCATTATCCTCAATGGGCTTGGGTCGGATTACACCTGCCTACATCAGATCTGATCCTATCCACTAAAGACAGATGGATGGGGATCTGTTCCCCATCCATATAATGGAGCGGATGGCAGTCAGGTGTAAACGGACAGGCGGTCCATTTACATCTGACCACCCATCAAGGACAGCGGGCCATGTGCTTGCTCAGCGGTAATCAGTGACCTGCTTGCAGAGTCCACCCCATGTAAAAGGAGCCTTACACTGTTTCATCAAAGTTCTACCTTAAAACTAAGGCTCCATTCACACCATGCAGGTGCGATGAAGCACAAGTGCGTTTGTGCGTGTCATGTGTAAAACAGCCTGCTCTTTTTAATGGGGCTGCCCAACATGTGAAAAACATGAAAAAGAAATACCTGGACCTTTTTTTAAATTGTTCGATTTCTGGGACCAGCTTGTATTGCTCTTGAGGAAGTCACGTGGCACTGTGACATAACGCATAGGGAGAAGCCAATGACGTCATGCTGCAAAACCGGAAGCATGCAGAGCCCCGTTTTTTTGTGACATAGAGGACATACACTATATTGCCAAATGTATTGAGACAACCCATCAAATCATTGGATTCAGGTGTTCCAATCACCTCCATGGCCACAGGTGTATAAAATTAATTACCTAGGCATGCAGACTGCTTCTACAAACATTTGTGAAAGACTGGGTTGCTCTCAGTAGCTCAGTGAATTCAAGTGTGGTACTGTGATAGGTTGCCACCTGTGCAATAAGTCCATCCGTGACATTTCCTGGCTACTAAATATTCCACGGTCAACTATTAGTGGTATTATAACAAAGTGGAAGCAACTGGGAAAAACCGCAATGGCCACGTAAAATGACTGAGCGGGATCAGTGCATGCTGAAGTGCGCAGAAGTTGCCAACTGTCTGTAGAGTCAGTAGCTAAGGACCTCCAAACTTCATGTGGCCTTCAGATTAGCACAACAACAGTGCATAGAGAGCTTCAATTAATGGGTTTCTATGGCTGAGCAGCTGCATCCAAGCCTTACATCACCAAGTGCAATGCAAAGCGTTGGATGCAGTGGTGTAAAGTATGCCACCACTGGACAGTGGAGACGTGTTCTCTGGAGTGATGAATTGCGCTTCTTTGTCTGGCAGTCCGATGGACGCGTCTGTGTTTGGCAGTTGCCAGGAGAACAGTACTTGCCTGACTGGCATTTTGTCAAGTTTGGTGGAGTGGGGATTATGGTGTGGGGTTGTTATTCAGGGGTTGGGCTTGGCCCCGTAGTTCCAGTGAAGGGAACTCTTAAGGCATCAGCATACCAAAACATTTTTTACAATTTCATGCTCCCAACTTTGTGGGAACAGTTTGGGGATGGCCCCTTCCTGTTCCAACATGACTGCACACCAGTGCACAAAGCAAGGTCCATAAAGACATGGATGAGCGGGTTTGAGGTGGAGGAACTTGACTGGCCTGCGCAGAGTCCTGACCTCAACCTGATAGAACACCTTTAGGATGAATTGGTGCAAAGGCCGTGAGCCAGGCTCTCTCGTCTGACATCAGTGCCTCACAAATGAGCTTCTGGAAGAATGGTCAAACATTCCCATAGATACACTCCTAAACTTTGTGGACAACCCTCCCAGAAGAGTTGAAGCTGTTATAGCTGCAAAGGGTGGGCCAACTCAATATTGAACCCTATGGACTAAGACTGGGATGCCATTAAAGTGCATGTGCGTGTAAAGGCAGGTGTCCCAATACTTTTATATATTGCTGATTGCCTATTGATAAAGAATATAGGGTTGAGAGATAAGGGTGTAAATGAGAAAGTAAAGGATATGTGCCCCATTTTCCTAGGATAGAAAAAGAGGTAGAGTAATGTGTAATGTGGAAAATAAGGGGGTACAGAACACTATCAGTGGATGATGGTCACAAGGGGAAGGGGAGTGAAGAATAGAAAAAAGGGAAAAAAAGAGGGAGGGGAAGGGCGGATTCTGTTCCACAACAGCTCAACGGGTTTTCATTGGAAATATATATTTTACATTATAAGATGGGTTCACACCTGAATTGAACAGGAATGCGCTCTGCATTCCTATGTGGTTCACTGTGGTGCAATTTTATAGCCCATTCCACTGCAAATCGTACCAGAATGCAGAAAAAACAGTTGATGGTTATTGGCAGTACTTTCCTCACACTGTGACACAATGAGGAAAGTACTGCCGATAACTGGCAAGTGTATTTACATGGTGGTCAGCTGTGTATAATTTAATTGCTCTAATTTGTGTATTTTATATTGACCAGGAGTTTGGTTTTAAGCTCTGTGGATAGTTGACTGTACAATACATATGTAAAGTGCTGTGTAAATTGACAATGCTATTTAAGTATCAGTAAAAATAATAAATAGTTTTTATTTCTTTAGAAATGTGTCAGGTTTGTGTTAGAAAATCACAAACCTCAGTTCTTAGTTGATTTGTTAATTCTGTTTTTGATGTCTTGGAATTGCAAATGTTTTGACCTCCAGGATATAGCTATTGTTTGTTTTGTTGTGTAGAGATCTGCTGCCCTTTACTGTCAGCTGCTAGTATCACACTGTAATATATAGAGATATGTATCTCACTTCCTGACTTTGGGGTTGAGGATGCGGAGAGAGAGAAGGGCTCAGCCACATGTCCTGTTCATGGTACTACTACCAGATCAAAAGAGATGATTATTGCCAGATAACTAGAACTGCGTTCCAGGTTGGTTGGATAATGGCTTGAGGGTTCCCTCATCACTGCAGATCTTGTCTTCAGGTCTCTGACACAATGACTGGATCATTCTCAGGGGCCCATGCAATAGGACTTCGCTGCAACATTCATCTGAAGGTATTTCTATTATTAACTATATATACCTGCGTATATGTGCACAATTCCACCAGGACTCCTATTGGGCCCTTTGATGAAATTACCCGTTTGTACACTGAATGTATGTACTTTTATTAATCTCTTCTTATGTAAAGCTTGTACATCTATATACATACAGTTAATGTTATATGCTGGTTGCAGTAGCTCTTCTGCTTCCAATTACTTTGATTAGATTACTGATTAATTTCCCAGGAAAGAAATCCCTTCTGTTACATAGTTACATACAGTGGGGGAAATAATTATTTGATCCCCTGCAGGAAATGAAAGGTCTATAATTTTTCATCATAGGTGTATTTTAAATTATAGAGACAGAATTTCAACCAAAAATCCAGAGAAAACACGATACAAATGTTATAAATTGAGTTTCAGTTCAGTGAGTAAAATAAGTATTTGATCCCCTACCAACCAACAATAATTCTGGCTCCCACAGACTGGCTATGCGCTCATGTGGCACACAGATTAGTCTTCTCAATCTGTGCTCCTAATGACAACTCGTAATGTGTATAAAAGACACCTGTCCACAGAATCTCTTTCTTGGGCACCACCGTGGGCAAGACCAAAGAGCTGTCAAAGGACGTCAGGGACAAGACTGTATACCTGCACAAGACTGGAATGGGCTACAAGACCATCAGCAAGAAGCTTGGTGAGAAGGAGACAACTGTTGAAGTGATTATTCACAAATGGAAGAAATACAAAATTACCAATAATCAATCACCCTAGGTCTGGAGCTCCATGCAAGATTTCACTTCATGGGGTAAGAATGATCATGAGAAAAATGAGGCATCAGTCCAGAACTACATGGAAGAAGCTTGTGAATGATCTCAAGGCAGTTGGGACCACAGTCACCAAACAAACCATTGGTAACACAATACACCGCCATATATTGAAATCCTGCAGCACCTACAAAGTTCCCCTCAAGAAGGCACATGTACAGGCCCATCTAAAGTTTGCCAATGAACATGTCAATGATTTAGAGAAGGACTGGAAGAAAATGCTGTGGTCAGATGAGACCAAAATTGAGTTCTTTGGCATTAACTCGACTCTCCATGTTTGGAGGAAGAAAAATTCGGACTATGACCCTAAGAACACCATCCGTACAGTCAAGCATGAAGGTGCAAACATTATGGTTTGGGGCTGTTTATCTGCTAAAGGTACAGGTGGCTTTGCTGCATTGAGGGGCCAATGCACGGGGCCATGTATTGTAAAATCCTGGATGAGAACCTTCTTCCCTCAGCCAGAACACTGAAGATGGGGCGTGGATGGATCTTCCAGCATGACAATGACCCAAAGCATACTGCCAAGGCAACAAAGCATTGGCTCAATAAAAAGCACATTAAGGTCATGAAGTGGCCTAGCCAGTCTCCAGACCTTAATCCTATAGAAAATTTATGGAGGGAGCTTACACTTCGAGTTGCCAAGTGGCAGCCAAGAAACTTTTAGGATTTATCGAAGATCTGTAATGAAGAGTGGACCATAATCCCTTCTGAGATGTATGCAAACCTTGTAACTAACTACAAGAAACGTCTTACATCTATGCTTGCCAACAAGTATTTCTCCACCAAGTACTAAGTCATTTTTTGCTTGGGGATCAAATACCTATTTTACTCACTGAACTGAAACTCAATTTTTAACATTTGTATTATGCGTTTTTTTTCTGGATTTTTGGTTGATATTCTATTATAAAAAAACATATAGACCCTTTATTTCTTTGCAAGTGGATAAACTTACAAAATCTGTAGGGGATCAAATAATTTTCCCCACTGTAGTCTGGTTGAAAAAAGATACAAGATGTTCATAGATTCCCTGTGCTGGGTGTGGATACACTGCCATCAATCCCATTTCTCCATTTAGCGAAGGTTCTGTTTCCCATATTTACTTACAGGTTTGGCCCACTATTCTGTTTGGGGAGAGCCATTTCTCATAACCCCCCAAAAGAGGGCTACAGTTGCATTAAACATACAAGTTATTACTGTGCTTTTGGTGTTAGATTATGGTGTGGTTTATGCAGCAGTGCCTCCTAAGGGTGCTTTCTTATACTGCAATTTAAAATTGCTGTTGCTAGGTGGTATACCCAAATTCAGTTGGACTTTGAGGTATGTCCACCAATTATTCAACATGGTGCACACGGTGTAACACCTCTGGAAGTGTTTTATTAGATAAATGCGTTATATCTAGTGATTGCGGTATGCGTGATATATAAACGACACATCATAAGAAATTGTCCACTGTGGAATATAAAGGAATTCTAAAATATGTTGAAAAAAAATTAACTTCATTTGTTTGCAGGTACAGGTAATACTATTGTCATTTTAGCACTTGAACCTTTGAGGTTCTTGTAGGCCCTGAGATAATACCTGGCATCCAGTCAGGCTTACCAAGGGTACATGGAGAATCATAAGGCTGCCATAATATCTGACTTCATCCATATATGTAGTGAATGAGAAAATGCAGTAGTATCATTTTGAGCCTTTCTAGGGACAGGATCCAGAGGGGAAAGTGTATGGAGATTGAATGGATGTGTGCTGTATCTGTCACGGTCCACAGGGGCAACTTTGTAGCATGCAATAAAAAGGGACTAATTAGACCACTGTACAAGGTGTGACAATTTAATTCCCAGAATGGACTTTAAAAAAAAAAAATATCAAACACCTCTGCATTCTGCAAAAGATCAGATGAAATCTGAAGGCAACGTTTTTTTCTGATTGTCAGAATTTGACTCACCGTCTTTGCAGAAATCTCTCATTCCTACAATCCTGTTAAAATCTGCTGCACCGTTTCCCTCTTCATGTTCAATTCTTCTGCCATCATTCACACATTCAGTCTTTGATCTGAGCGTACAAGGGTTCACACATTTGCATCTGTCCTTTGCGATTTTGGCAGCCCACTTCTTGCGTCTTTGTGGATATCTTTCTGTTCCTCCTTAAACCACTTGTGCGATTCAAAATCGCTTGATTTCTTCATGGACTGTTCGCCGTAAGACTGTTGTGGCAGAGATAAAGTTTCAGGCGAGTGCAAGTTAGAACATGTCAGAACACACTCGAGTGCAAATGGCTGTGTGACTCCCACCATAGTGTTATGCTGCAAGCATACAACCTTTCAAAGCACTCCTGTGATGTCTGCGTTCTTTATATTCTGTTTGTTGTTACCATTTCAGCCTGATGTTGCATAGTTCTAATAACGCCAAATACAGTATCTCACGGAAGTGAGTACAACCCTCACATTTTTGTAAATATTTTATTCTATCTTTTCATGTGACAACACTGCAGAAATGACACTTTGCTACAATGTAAAGTAGTGAGTGTACAGCTTGTATAACAGTGTAAATTTGCTGTCCCCTCAAAATAAATCAACACACATCCATTAATGTCTAAACCACTGGCAACAAAAGTGAGTACACCACTAAGTGAAAATGTCCAAATTGAGCCCATTTAGCCATTTTCCCCCCCGGTGTCATGTGACTTGTTAGTGTTACAAGGTCTCAGGTGTGAATGGGGAGCAGGTGTGTTAAATTTGGTAAAATAAATGTGTGTATATATGTATATATATATATATATATCTGTGCAGCACTACACATCAATTATAAGTACATAAAATATGTGACTATATTAAATAAATATATGAAAAAGTCCCAATGAATTTCTTCTGCAAAATCTATCCTCCTGTGACCACCGGTGCTGCAAACACAGAGAGTGCACAATTCCTCCACCAGTTATCTGCTCACCTCCAGCAGTATGACCTCACATCATATAATGCTTGGTCTAACCGCGCTTTTGGTCCCGATAATTGGACTCTGAAGATCAACTTGATGAGTAGTAGCTCCAAATGGCTCACTCCAAAGAACCCCTTTGATCAGCAGTAATCCTCATGAACAAAAACTTAACATAGTGTTTACCCTGTAAAAAACTTTATTAATCATAAAGACGTCCACATATGCACTCACATGTGACAGGTGCCAGACCGCACCAAGTGTAACAAGCATCCACTGAGATTCTCCACAGACCCAAGAAAACTTCTTATCCAAGTCAGCTGAAATCAGTAACACAGGTATATGCTCCAGCTAATCACAAGATCATGAAATATTGATGACACAATAGCAACTGCGGGCCCTAGAATAGTTAGAAGTGCCTCACGATCTGGAGAGTCCTGGAGCTGCTGTATTAAACGTCGACCTTCCGTTGTGTCGTGATGTCATCCGTAAGCTCCTCCCCGACGCATTTTGTCACAGATCACGTAACTTTATCAAGGGACCTGATTGTAATCATATTGTTAAATTTGGTGTTATCACTCTCACTTTCTCATACTGGTCAATGGAAGTTCAACATGGCACCTCATGGCAAAGGAACTCTTGAGGATCTGAAAAAAGAATTGTTGCTCTACATAAAGATGGCCTAGGCTATAAAAAGATTGGCAAGACCCTGAAACTGAGCTGCAGCACGGTGGCCAAGACCATACAGTGGTTTAACAAGACAGGTTCCGCTCAGAACAGGCCTTGCCATGGTCGACCAAAGAAGTTGAGTGCACGTGCTCAGCGTCATATCCAGAGGTTGTCTTTGGGAAATAGACGTATGAGTGCTGCCAGCATTGCTGCAGAGGTTGAAGGGGTGGGGGGGTCAGCTTGTCAGTGCTCAGACCATACACCGCACACTGCATCAAATTGGTCTGCATGGCTGTTGTCCCAGAAGGAAGCATGTCTAAAGATGATGCACAAGAAAGCCCGCAAACAGTTTGCTGAAGACAAGCAGACTAAGGACATGGATTACTGGAACCATGTCCTGTGGTCTGATAAGACCAAGATAAACTTATTTGGTTCAGATGGTGTCAAGTGTGTGGCAGCAACCAGGTGAGGAGTACAAAGACAAGTGTGTCTTTCCTACAGTCAAGCATGGTGGTGGGAGTGTCACGGTCTGGGGCTGCATGAGTGCTGCCGGCACTGGGGAGCTACAGTTCATTGAAGGAACCATGAATGCCAACATGTACTGTGACATACTGAAGCTGAGCATGATCCCCTCCCTTAGGAGACTGGGCCGCAGAGCAGTATTCCAACATAACGACCCCAAACACACCTCCAAGACAGCCACTGCCTTGCTAAAGAAGCTGAGGGTAAAGGTGATGGACTGGCCAAGCATGTCTCCAGACCTAAACCCTATTGAGCATATGTGGGGCATCCTCAAACGGAAGGTGGAGGAGCACAAGTTCTCTAACATCCACCAGCTCCATGATATTGTCATGTTGGAGTGGAAGAGGACTCCAGTGGCAACCTGTGAAGCTCTGGTGAACTCCATGCCCAATAGGGTTAAGAGAGTGCTGGAAAATAATGGTGGCCACCACATAAAATATTGACACTTTGGGCCCAAAGGTGTGTTTTTTTTTTTTTCTAGGTGACAACAAATTTACACTGTTACACAAGCTGTACACTCACTCACTACTTTACATTGTAGCAAAGTGTCATTTCTTCAGTGTTGTCACATGAAAAGATATAATATTTACAAAAATGTGAGGGGTGTACTCACTTCTGTGAGCTACTGTATGTGTTCCAGTGAGTGGTAGCATTTTAAAACCAGATATTGGTCTGTGGGTGGGCTTCCTGTAGACCTCAATGTCCAAATCACTCTCTCTTTGACATAACACAGTTCCAATAAGATAATTTGTTATTCTGTGCCTCTCTTTGTACACTTGATATTTTTGTCCACTGAGTTTGTATTCACTAAATACTTAAGTTTCCAATGTTCTAATCTTGGTCCATGAATCATCCACCTAACTGAACAAGTGACTTGGTGGTATTCCCTCAAAGGAGTTCAAGGCTCTCTTCCCCATCCCCTCTATGTGCAGGTTAGCTATAATGGGAAAGACAGGGGATCTGTACATAGCACAGCCATGTTTCTGTCTATAGAAGTTGTCCTTGTACTTAAAGTGGTTCTAAAGACTCAAGGTTTTTTACCTTCATGCATTCTATAAGCTCCGCTGCGTGTGTCTATGGAGTGTGGCATGGCTCCATAGACAAACCGCTCGGGAGCGAGCAGACACTGTATTCCCCCATAGCAAACAGCTTGGGAGTGAGCAGACACAGTGTTCCCCTGTAGCAAACAGCTTGGGAGCAGGCAGACACTGTGTTCTTCCATAGCAAGCAGCTTACTATTGGCACACATGTAGAAGAGTAGGAGCCAAGATTGCTGCCAGGGGACTCAGGAAGAGGAGGATCGAGGCCGTTAGTGAGTATAACATTCTTAGGTAATTGGAAGTGGAAGTTGTCCTCCCCCCTTGTAGTCTTCTGGGACATATGACAGGTCCCAGAAGACTAGAGCACCAGTCACAATACACAGTGCTACTCACACATGCTCAGTGGGCACCCAGCTGTGAAGCCGCAAGCTGTCACAGCCGGGTGCCCACACTGAAGATGCCGGTGCCAGGAACACAGGACAGCCAGGGAAACGGGCTGCGGGGAGGACACCGCGGGATTGAGGGACAAGTGAGTGGCTGTTTTTTTAACAGTCAGCTGCTACAGTTTTTATAGCTGCTGACTTATTATTTTACAGCATGACTGGAACTCCACTTTAATGTGTCTGTGCTATCTGTGTGGATAGAAATGCTGGAGCATGTTCCTAACACTCATATCTGAAGAAGGTTCAAACTGTTGTTGAATAAGCTACGAAACATCGTCAACAATACAGAACAAGTCAAGCTGAATGTGAATAATTACTATGAACTATACCATTCCCGGGACAAATGAGAACCTTCCCAGACCAAGAACACTCTCCTCCACTACTCCCCCTTCTCATTTCCATCCCCTTGTGCACAGGCAGAGAGTGTTATCAGCTTACAAGATGATATCTCCATCTCCCTGTGCACAGGCGGACAGCACATGAAGTTATCAGCTTACAAGATTTCTGGTAAAATTAATGAGGATTTTTTGTACTTATCAGACAGAAATAACAAAACACTTTCAAAAGTAAACTTAGCAAACCAAAAGGGAGCAAATAAGAGTTCATTGTAAGGCTTTCCATACACTTTAACATACAGTATATCTTAAACCGACTGTTTCTTCTAAGAATATATACCTTGCATGGCTTAAGGTGTTACTAAACCCTGGACCCTGCGTTCACTATATCTGGTCTCCCACAATATACACCACATGTACATCTAAACTGCTAAATACCTTTTCTCATCAGCAGTTAGTCTAGGTTCACACCTAAGAGTTTTGCTCTGCGTTTTGCATTTTGCAGAAACGTGCTACAGTCCATTTAACATGATTTCCTATGGGGACACGTTCACATCTCCATGTTTTCACCCAGTGTGTTTTTTTGGAAGGAGGGACATTTTTAAAGCAGCAAAATGTTGCATTTTGGTTCAATAGACTTCAATGGAGATGCAGCAGAAATGCATGTAGTGGATTTTTTATGTAATTTTGACACATTGTTTTGCTTTTAAATCTGCCCAGCAACAAGTTGGGAAAAAAAAAAAAAAAAAAAGAATCAAAAACGTGCCAAAAAAAGGTATGTGCAAAAAACACACCACAAAAAGCAGATCAAACGAAAATTGAATAGGTGTGCACCTAGCCTTAGAACAGTCTTGTGTCTTCTATAAGTGTCCAGCAGAGCACTAGTTAAAGCTTGTAGGAGGAGTTTTCTTTCTGCTCTAGGAGGGTGCAAAACCCCTGACCTTTGGACAGTGCTGGTTGACCCTGTGCTGATCCCATGTACTCTCCCAAGAAAAAAAAAAAAAAAAACTTCTCTAGCAATACATACTAAACTGAGCATGTGCAGAATGGCTACAGTTCAGTCTGTCTTAGGAGATAAAATGTGGACATTTGAACAAAAGGAGGAGCAGAGAAGACAGGATGAAACAGCCTTTTTCCACAATGCAGAGGATTAACCCCTTGGATTCCACAGTGAGTATAACAAACATGCTTTACTGCATATACAGACTGATTTTACTGCTGTGGGTTTAGTAACACTTTAAAATGACAAACAATAAAAGAAGTATAATGCCTTCTCCACACATTCAGATTCAAAACAGTTTTTAATGATTACCAATAACAAGTGGTTGCATAATCTCTTTTTCTGAAATTGAATGGGAGGTCAAATCGGCATTTGAATTAATTGCAACACAATACATATTGATTAGAAAAGATAGGCAATCCATAGATTATACAATTTTCTTTCCTTACACCAGAGCTCAAAATTCCAAGTCCTGAGCTACTACCCGGACTTTAAGAGTTACTCCCACCAGTTGCCCCATCCAACCCCTACCCTGATACACCCTTAATTCCACCCCTAAACACACTCTCATAACTTCTCTCATGAAAGGACACAAATGTTCCCCACATTACATCAGGGTCCCCAGACCCCCCCCACATTATATCAGGGTCCCCAAACTCCATCATACTTAGACCATGCACCACATACAAAATAACCCCCATAATCTTTCATTCACAAAACCATAACTCTACCAAGCATATCCTACCTTCTATCCAACCCAGCAGTGCCTCAAATGTCCCATGCTCTACCACCCATAATAACCACATAATCCTGAACCTGTGCAAACCACCCATGTATGAATGCTTACAGACACATGTACATACACATACAGATGTGTACACAGGCACATGTACATGCAGACACATGGACACGTATATACATACACTCACATACAGGCACATGTACATACATACACAGACAACATGTACACACACACACACACACAGACACGTACATATACACATACAACTACAGACACATACCCACATACAGACACATGTACACACAGACATATGTACACATACGGACACAACATGTACACATACAAATACAACACACACACACACACATGTACACAAAATACAAATACAGACACACACACACACATGTACACATACAAATACAGACACACACACACACACACACACACACACACACGTACACACACACACACACACACACGTACAAATACAAATACAGACACACACACACATACAAATACAGACACACACACACACACACACATGTACACATACAAATACAGACACACACACACACACACACACACACGTACACATACAGACACACACATGTACACATACAGACACACACATGTACACATACAGACACACACATGTACACATACAGACACACACAGGAAATAAAGGCTGCAAAATTTGAAAATGACCGACAGATTACAAAAGATAGCAGGACAAACCCCAACAATACAAGAGAAGGCAAATTTATTAAATACCTTCTTCAGTTCTTTGTATACAAAGGAGCATGGGGAAGCTCTTGTCCATAATGGGCATGGTATTGACACAGCTCCAGATGATCCACATTGGCTCACAATTGATATGATCCAAAAAATATTTAGACAGCATAAAGGTGAATAAAGCACCTGGACCAGATGGCATACACCCACAGGTCCTTAAAAAGAATTGAGCTCTGTCATTTCAAAGCCATTGTTTCTCATTTTTAGGGACTCTTTCATTACTGGCATAGTACTACTGGATTGGAGTAAGGCCAATGTGGTGCCAATATTTAAAAAGGGATCAAACTCTTTACCAAGTAATTATAGACCTGTTAGTTTAATTTCTATAGTTGGGAAGATACTGGAGAGTTTAATAAAAGACCACATAGATGAGTTCTTGCTGAAAAAAAATATTTTAAGTAACAGACAGCATGGATTCATGAAAGACAGAAGTTGTCAAACAAATCTGATTTCTTTTTATGAGGAGGTGAGCAAAACCTTGGATAAAGGGGTGGCGGTGGACGTGGTATACTTGGATTTTGCAAAAGTGTTTGACACAGTTCCCCACACACGGCTAATGTGTAAGTTAAAGTCTAGAGACTTGGAAAAATCTGTATGTAAATGGATAGAAAACTGGCTAAAAGATTGTATTCAAAGAGTAGTGGCTAATGATTCATACTCTGAATGGTCTAGGGTTGTCAGTGGTGTACCCCAGTGTTCAGTGTTGGGACCCTTACTTTTTAATATATTTATAAACGATATAGGGTGTGGGATTAAAAATACAATTTCAGTCTTTGCAGATGACACCAAGCTGTGCAGTGGAATAACGTCCTTACAGGATGTCTCCAACTTACAAGCCGACCTCAATGCACTGTTTAATTGGGCAACTATGGGGCAAATGAGGTTTAATGTTGATATATGTAAGTGTCACGATATAAGGTCAGGTTCAGAGACCAGTTGCTACAGCAGTTGTAAGGCTTACCTGAAACCAGCAGGATTGGTACACCAGCGGCCCACCCTGGGAATGATGCAGGCTCACCTGAGGTGCGGGGTCTAAGCATCCACCGGTCTTCCCCAGAGTTCCTAATGGTGGAGATGGATTTGGCTGCATGTGTGAATGCCAGGTCGCAGATCTCAGGATCACCCCACCAGGGAATGGGTAGGCTGGAAACCAAAAGCGGATCAACAGTTCAGGGATCAAACAGAAGCGGAGTCAGTCACAAGCCAAGGGTCGGTCACCAATGGTAGTAGATAGGATGAGGCAGAATCGTAGTCAGTAGCAAGCCAAAGGGTCGGTAATGTAGATGAAGACAGCAGCAGGAACAGTAAGCGGGATATTGGCTGGTAAGGCACAATAATCTGGCAACCAGGAAGTGCAGAGACATGGCTTTTATAGGAAGTTCATGGGAGGAGCAAGGAGTTCAAGGTTCAAGACAAAACAGGGTAAAAGCAGGATCATCCAAAGAATTGTCAAGGGAGCTGTCCAGCATTCCAGGTGGCTCAGCGAGAAGAAACACTGTCTCTCACCGCAGAAGGCCCAGGTTCGATTCCAGGCTCTGACAGTAAGGTTATGCACTTGGGGGCTAAGAATATGCATGCATCATACATACTAGGGGGAGCACAACTGGGGGAATCAATGGTGGAGAAGGATCTGGGAGTTCTGGTAGATCACAAGCTTAATAGTGGCATGCAATGCCAAGCTGCAGTTTATAAAGCGAGCAAAAAATCCTCTCTTGTATTAAAAGAGGTATAGACTCCAGAGAGAGATATCATATTACCCCTGTACAAATCATTAGTAAAACCTCATCTGGAAAATGCAGCTCAGTTTTGGCAACAATTCACAAAAAGAACATTGGGGAACTGGAGAAAGTACAGAGAAGGGCAACCAAACTGATACGAGGCATGGAGGAGATCAGCTATGAAGAAAGATTAGAGGAACTGAATTTATTCTCTCTTGAGAAGAGGCGATTAAGAGGGGATATGATCAACGTATAAATACATCAGTGGTTCATAGAGTGAACCCGGTGTAGAGTTATTCCTCCTGAGGTCATCACAGAGGACAAGGGGTACTCTTTACATCTGGAGGAAAAGAGAATTCATCTCCAAACACAGAAAGGTTTCTTTACAGTAAGAGCTGTAAAAAATGTGGAATAGACTCCCTCAAGAGTTGGTTCTGGCCAGCTCAGTGGATTGCTTTAAAAAAGGCCTGGATTATTTCGTAGATACACAGAATATAACTGGATACTAACATTTATAGGTAAAGTTGATCCAGGGAATATCCAATTGCCTCTCGGGGGATCAGGAAGGAATTTTATTCCCCTGCAGGAGCACATTGGATCATGCTTTGCTGGGTTTTTTTCTTGTATTCCTCTGAATCAACTGTGGGTGTAAGATTATTTTTTAATATGGTTGAATCGGATGGACTTTTGTCTTTTTTCAGCCAGACTAACTATGTAATTAATGATTTCAAATTTAACAACTATTATTTAAGAAACATTTGTTGATTTAATCACAGAACCTTTGTTTGCTACTGGTTTACTCTATAAATGGTTCTTTCCGTTTTACACTATATCCACATTTTGTGAGCGCTGCACTACCATATATATTTATTTTTAAGGGGTTTGGCATATTGACCTTTAAAATGTCACTAAACCCAGGACCCTGCATTCACTATATCCGGTCTCCCCTGCAGGAGCACATTGGATCATGCTTTGCTGGGTTTTTTTTTTGTATTCCTCTGAATCAACTGTGGGTGTAAGATTATTTTTTAATATGGTTGAATCGGATGGACTTTTGTCTTTTTTCAGCTAGACTATGTACACACACACACACACACACACACACACACACAAACAGACAGATACATGTACACACACACACAGACACATGTACAGGTGAAACTCGAAAAATTTGAATATCGTGCAAAAGTTCATTTATTTCAGTAATGCAACTTAAAAGGTGAAACTAATATATGAGAGATACTCATTACATGCAAAGCAAGATAGTTCAAGCCGTGATTTGTCATAATTGTGATGATTATGGCTTACAGCTCATGAAAACCCCCAAATCCACAATCTCAGAAAATTAGAATATTGTGAAAAGGTGCAATATTCTAGGCTCAAAGTGTCCCACTCTAATCAGCTAATTAATCCATAACACCTGCAAAGGGTTCCTGAGCCTTTAAATGGTCTCTCAGTCTGGTTCAGTAGGAATCACAATCATGGGAAAGACTGCTGACCTGACAGTTGTGCAGAAAACCATCATTGACACCCTCCATAAGGAGGGAAAGCCTCAAAAGGTAATTGCAAAAGAAGTTGGATGTTCCCAAAGTGCTGTATCAAAGCACATTAATAGAAAGTTATGTGGAAGGGAAAAGTGTGGAAGAAAAAGGTTCACAAGCAGCAGGGATGACCGCAGCCTGGAGAGGATTGTTAGGAAAAGGCCATTCAAAAGTGTTGGGGACTTTCACAAGGAGTGGACTGAGGCTGGAGTCAGTGCATCAAGAGCCACCACACACAGATTGATCCTGGACATGGGCTTCAAATGTCGTATTCCTCTTGTCAAGCCGCTCCTGAACAACAAACAACGTCAGAAGCGTCTTACTTGGGCTAAAGAAAAACAGACCTGGTCTGTTGCTCAATGGTCCAAAGTCCTCTTTTCTGATGAGAGCAACTTTTGCATCTCATTTGGAAACCAAGGACCCAGAGTATGGAGGAA